CATATCAATTTTCTTCTCCAATTGTTTGCTGATTCTGCCAGTTCTCACTGTTCATTAACTTTGTGGTTCCAGCCATTCTCCAATACCAATTCTATGGACTTCCTGAACTCCTCCAGGTTTTGCAAGATTTGTAACCTCACTTTGTAGCCAATCTGACTTAACGTTGTTGAATATTTACAGCATTTGTTAATCATACTGAGAGGGAACACAGTAAGGTAGATAAGAGAACAGTTTGGAGCAGACAGCCTGGGTTAGAAAGCACCGCCTGATTCTCTATGAGTTAATAATAATAGTATCTCCCTTATGACAAGTATATGAACTTAGAGCTCACTGACATCTAGGTTTAAAAACATAATGCAAGGTTTCTATATGCATTTGCCATTCATCTTATCAAGGGATTAGTCCCCCATTGGTCTGGATAGATGCTGGTGGTAAGTGGGAAAGGACATTTGGGTGAGGGCTCACTTTACAAGTGATTGGTTTATTTGTGAATATAGCAGACTGCTGGGTTAACTGATCTCCTCATTCTCTGAAAACTACACAGACTGAAGCCAGTGGTCCCTGGAACCCCTCCATGCTGTCCCAACCCCTCCCCCCCACCCCCCAAGCTGCTTGCTCTCATTTCTGGTATGCTTAGTAAGTGCCAGTGTGTTTGTTTTTGCTACTTGTATTTTTTAAAAATTGTAACTGTGTGATTTACCTCAATATACATAAGCAGTTGGTTTGTGAAGGAGGATAAGAATTGTAATTTCTAAGAAAACTCAGTGGAATGCTTTGTAAGGCAAGAGACAGGTTGTCAAAAATTTGCAGTCTATAGAGGAGAGCTTCTGACAAATGTAAAGATTTATGAAAGCCGAGAAATGAGAATTCTGCTCTTTCAATTGCTGCTAAAGTATCTAAGATTTCCTCTACTTTAGGGCCTTCCTGGTGGTACAGGGGTTAAATTCTCAGCTCTTTACTTAAAGAAACCAAAACTAGAAAGGAGAAGATTCAAAGTCGGTGTGGTGTGTTTGTGCCAGTGAACCCATAGTCATGGAAGGGCCTTGTCCTCCATCAGCAGGTAAGCAAGTGCACACACAGGTGTATGTTTGTGGTGTGAATGTGTTCATATCCTTTCTGAGGGTTTCCTGTTAAAATCAGCTTCTTCATGACCCTCTACATTGAAGTTCAAGCAGTGGTGACTTTTGCTTCCCTGTTCAACCATAGCAGTGGCATCCAGTATAGTAATCAGATAGTGAGGCCCCAGACTCTTACCATGATGTTAATGACACCCCAGTGTTTACAGTGTTGTTATCATTACTTTACATTATCTCTGAGTCTCAGTGTCACAAGGATAAAAAGGCAGGCATATCTTTGAACTAGGAAAATATCATTCTAGTATAATTTCTGCTTTAATAAAGCACACCTAAATTAGTTGATTCTAAGCATAGTGAGACAATTGAAGATCCCAAACTCTCACAGCCCCAAAAATGAATTGGGTTGGTGGATATAGTTTAATTTGTGCAATTTCTGAGCCAGTTTGTGTGTGTGTATGACATCAAATTCTGAGACACCCCCCCCCCAATAAAATGGTGCCTTCCAGGGTACCAATTTTTAGTATTTTTTAAAAGGTTTATTTATGCATACAAGAACGGGGTGGAGACCTTCTGTCCTCTGGGGGTGAGAGGATTCATCCAAGACAGAGTGGGCAGCAGAACAGGCTGATTCACTGAAATATATGACTGAGGGGAGCAGCGGGCTTGGAGAGGTCTGCTATGCCATGTGGGTTATCTTTCTGGCCAGTGGTTGAACTCATGTTGCAATGGCTGGTGATATCTTGATAGGCTCTGGGCTGCCAGTTTTTAAATATGTGGCTTCAAGTTCATGAACAGGGTGCTCCATTTGTCCTTCCTCTGACAAAAACTTGCAGTTAGTCAGGAGCACACTTTGAAGAGTTCTTGCACTTCAGGGGCACTTGTGTCTCTGGAAGGAATAGCTATTTGTGCACCTGGTTGTAGATCCACAGTGTAAGCTTTCATGGAAATGAGGTGTTATCAGACCATCAGAAGAAACCTACTGAAGCACAGCAGAAAAGGTTCCTAAGTCATGTCCAGTGAAATCAGGCAACTCTCCATGCATGCTTTGGCTTCCCCACTTATCATGTGACCTTGAGCAAGTGTCTTTTCGAGAACCAGTTATCTTAGGCATGGTGATAATCAATGTTTTCCTTATTATATTGGTGTGAGAGCTAAGGAAAACGTGCCTGACCAAGTGCATGTGCTGAAAAAAGGGTAACTGGCAATTTTTGAGTCATAGCAGCTGCCGTCCAAACAAGGATGGTTTCTAGAGACTCCCCTCAATGAGTTTCTCACTCTGTCCTCTTGTCATCTCCTTCCTTATTATCACCTTGGTCTCGACCACTATGATACCTGGACAAACTTTTGAAATAACTTTCTAATGTTCTCCATGGTCCACGCTAGCCCCTTTATAATTTTTTTCTTGTGACATCCTTTAAAAAACATCAACTTATATCACTTCCCTGATCTCAGCCCTCAGTGATTTCCCATTATGCTAATATTAAGACTACCCATTATGTCTTTGTCCATAACCCTATCCCCCATAAACATGAGTGTGCTCTAATTGCAGGCACACACGTGTGCACGCGCACACACACTAGTCCTTGCTCACTTCCCTCCAGCCACACCCATTTCCTTACAGTTCCTCGAGTCTTTGCATTTTGCTGATCCTTCTGTTGTAATTTTCCTGGCCCAAATTTTCCACTTCATTCTGCTCCCCGTTCAAGCCCCTTTTCCAGATTGCCAGTCTGAAGTAGGCTCTCCCGCCCTATCCGGATGGCTCTTTCTTCACAGCACTCATCAATCCTAGGCTATTTCGTTTTTGCCCGTCCCCTGCACTAATATAAGTTCCACAAAGGAAGTGATTTTTTTTTCTGTTTAATTTATTACTTTGTTACAGGGTAGTGAGAGGGGCTCTCCAGAACCCCCAACCTGCCTGCTCTAAATAGGTTCTGCCATCTGCCTGCCGCCTGGAGACTAAATATACGGTAGAGCATACGTGAAAAGGAACGTTAATACAACTGGTATACAACAAGGACAAGACAAAGAATAAGGTTTCCAAATCCAGCACCTGAAGTTACCCATCCCCACTTGGGTTGGCCCAAAGTAGGGCCACTGAGGCCTGGAAACCTGTCACAAGTCTAAGGCACCTTCTGGAGGGGATCCATAGAAAAGGGGCAGGAGGGCAAAATCAAGATGAATGCTGCCATGGTTAACCTCTCCTTGGGTCTCTCAGCCAGGACTGTTCCACTCAGCCCAAGAAGCAGGTGCAGCTTCACTCATCTCTGCTCTGCGTGCCTCCTCCAGGTCACCTTCTTGCTCTCCACCCTGCTTCCTTCCTCCCTCCCGTCTCTTGACACAGCTATGCAACTTATGTCGGCTGACAAATTCCACCTTTGGACCCTGCCTGTTTTGCCCCCCAATAATTCGTGATGGGGGGCTGGTCCCCGACAGTCTCTCCTCCCTCTCCCGACAGTCTGTCCTCCCTCTTCCTCTCCTCCCTACTCAGCTCTACCCTCCCTCTGGTAGGGCAGGGAATCTGGAACCTTCCTCCCCTTTTCCTGGGGACCCTCCTATTCAACTACACTCAAATGGCCTGCTACAAGGGATATAATTGGCAACTATGTATTGAATCAAAGAATCTTTGAATCAGTTGGAGATTAAGCTTCTTGAAGGCAAGGGGTTCTCATTTCATCTTTGTATCTCCCTGGCCTGGTGAAGTCCTGAACACTTAAGAGGTACTTAACAATTTGCCAAGTATTTTGTTGTAGGGCTGAACAAAGAGGAACATGAGGTTGGTAGAGAGCAAATTGCATGTGCGTCCTGTGAGGAAAGAACAAGTTTGCATCCGTGACTAGTGCTCAAAAGCAGAATTCACAAATTTAGAGCTGTACTTGATTTTGTTAAACAGTTTCTGATCAGACAGCATTCCATCTAGGTGCTACAAGGGGTTACATAAAATAGAGCTTATTTATAGAAAAGAGCAGGCCAGGCAAGGTTATTAGCACAAGAAAAGATTTTTTCAGGGAAAAGTGGGGAGGGTGTCTGTCTTGCAGATGATCTCAGAGGTGCCTACAGGGAAAGTCCTGACTGGTGGAGGAGGCGCCTTGGAAGAGGTTGAGACTGCAGTGACTGGAGGTGTTTGTCGGTGTGGTGGCTGGGTTTGAAGGATTCCATTTTGGGTCTGTTCTTTCTATTTTTAAGTGTAAGAAATTCTTTTTTAAAAGAAATAACTATTTATATGCATATAAGAACTGGGGTGTAGGCCAGGGTTGCAAGGGGTTAGAGGATCCACAGAGACAGAGTGGGGAGCAGAACGTGTGGGTCTGCTGAAATTCACTGCTGAGGGGAGCAGCAGGCGAGATAGGAGAGCTCCCCTGGCTGGGGGCCAAACTCAGACCAAGTAAAAAGTCCTTAGCACGAAATGAGGCTAACTCTTTGGAATTCAAAGTGGTCAAGTACTGAGAAGAAATATAGCGTGGAGCCTGGCGACTACCTGTTGCCCGTGTTATATGGCACAATGGTGGACATCAGGGCTAACAAGAAGCCGGTTTACTGCGTGGTGCTGACTCAGCAGATTCGCATCCCAAGGCTCAGCCCCCTTTGCAGGAAGTCAGGGGCTTATACACACTCGCAGCTTCTATAAGGTTCCGGGTGGGTTTGCACTGGCAGCTGTACCTGGTCAGGTATGGCGTGGCAGCGGACCGAGGGGTGAGTCGAATAGCTGCATAAGAAGGGGTGAGTAAGGATCAGTGGCCCTGAGAGCCCCCAGGGCCATTCTGCCTCAAGGCGATGGTCTAACATGAAGCGAGAGTCATACCAGGAACTACATGGCATACCAGGAACTGAGCAAAAGGTTGTTACTCAGACTCTTGGGCTGTTTATCCGAGGGCAGCATGCTTCACCCTGAATGCCTGTTGAATAATGTGGTTGTTTCTCTCTCAGTGATACAGGAACAACGCCTCCAGAGAGTGGTATTTTTGGATTTATGATAAACTTCTCTGCATTTCTTGGTAAGTATACATCATTGTTATAAATCCCAAGTGGAGTAAGATAGATCTGTTACAGTTTGTGCATCATTTTTGATGCTAGCCAACTTTATTTTTTTAGAACTATTTTAAGTTCCCAGAAAAATTGAGTGAAAGGTAAAAATTTCTGATGTATACCCCTATCTCCCAACCTCCTCATACAGCCCCCCTCATTGTCAGCATCTGCCCCCCTCAGCAGGTTTGTTACCACTGAGGAACCTCCATGATGCATCATCACGCACAGTTCAAAATAGGGTTTACTCTTGATGTGGGTAAACTTTTCAAGAACAATCTTTACAGCTGTAAATTTGTACTAACACTGTGAGTTATGGCCACATAATAGAACTATACCTCTCTCCGTGTGGTTATTTACCACAGGCTTTTGAAATGGATTTTAAGTGTTATTTGATTTTTTAAAAAAAGATTTATTTATGCATATAAGAACTGGGGTGTAGACCTGAGGTGCACGAGGGTGAGAGGATTCACCAGAGACAGAGTGAGGAGCAGAACAGGAAGATTGACTGAAATTCACTCTGAGGGGAGCAGGAGAGGTCTGCTATGCCGTGAGGGTCAGCTCCCTCGTCAGGGATTGAATTCATGCCACAGTGGCTGGTGATAGCTGATAGCACTGAAACTTTACCCCTGTGGCACTAGAAAGGACCTGTGTGGGGTTTTTTTTTTTTTTTAACTCATAATACTACTTTTAAGAATTCGTCTTTCAGAAGCACCCAAAAATATGCAAAGACTTTCACACACGAAGATTCATTGAGAACTGTTTGTAATAGGAAAAACACAGGCACAATCTAGAAACCCCTCACTAGGAGAATGATGAAAAGAAATAGGGTCTTTCCCTAAATACCATGATGAGAACCCCTAAAACCACGTGGTAGATCTGTGTGTACTGATCTGACAAGGTCACGGGGTACATATTTAAGTGGAGAAAAAAAGCCAACCACAGAACAGTACACATACAATAAATAGCATTGATGTCAAAAGGTGGTGTGTGTGTGTCCTCCTTGGGCAGAAAGTAAGACAAGATGAGGAAGGGTGGGGCCCCCGGGTGAGTGGAGATGAATACAACCAGGCCTTGGAAAGTATACATTTTAATGAACCAACCCACTCCTATAGTTTTCATTCTAAAAAGTCAAATAATAAAAACTTACACAAGTCTCTCTTTCAGGTGCAGCCACAATGTATACAAGATATAAAATAGTAGAGAAGCAAAATCAGACCAGCTATTTCAGCACTCCTGTTTTTAACCTGGTGTCACTAGTGCTTGGGCTGGTGGGCTGCATCGGAATGGGCATTGTCGCCAACTTCCAGGTATGACCTGAGACTTTTGCAGGGGCTGGGGTGCCTGGAATGTGTGTGTCTGCAGGAGAGAAGCAAGAGCCCCAGGACCACACTGGCTCCTGACCGCACTGGCTCCTGGATTTACAACAATTGGGAGAGTTTGCTTTCTAGAAAATGAACTTGAACTTTTGCAGGTTGGCCCCCTCTGGAACTTGGGAAAAACGAGGGTGCATGTTTATAAGCAAGGGGGTTTTGAATTAGGCTACAGGCTTTGGGGGTGCCCTGTGTTCCCCCTTAGTTTGTGGTGTAGGGAGAAAAACTTAATCGTCATCATGATTTCAACGAGCATGACATTTGTGAGCACGAGTATGCGTGTGTGTTGACCAGTTCTACCCCTTTGCAAATGAAGATACAGGGCTTTGGAGGTGAAATCACTTGCTCACAACCAGCTAATTAATTGCAGAGCCTACATATGACTCCACTGTTGCAGATGAATTATGATCACGACTGTGGAGTCTTGTTGCTAAAGTCTCACTGTGCCAAGTGTTTGGGACAAAAAGGAACTGACTTACTTGATTCTGATTTGTAGATTCCTGTTTGTGCCAGGGTCTCTCTTTAGGAAGCCCAAGCCTTTTTTTTTTCCTATGGAAACAATATTTAACATTTTACAAACATTTGTTGATTTGCAAATGAATACTACTTGTAGTGTAACACTCACACAATAGCTGATAGCAGGGATTCTGTGGGCTGTGAGGCACTGCCCAGCAATCCGCCCTAGTGTGTCCTCATTGTTTTTTTTTTTTAAGTTTATGATAGAGAACTTTTTTTTTTAAGATTTATTTATTTATCCATACAGAACTGGGGTACAGGGCAGAGATGCAGGGACGGTGAGAGGATTCATCAGAGACAGAGTGGGGAGCTTGTCTTCATTTTATCAGGGAGTCTCACCCCTGAGGTCTCCGTCACCCACTCTCCCCATGTGACAGCAGAAAGGTGATTGTCCCAGGCTGAAATTCGCTTTCCTTGCACCTGAGGTGGGGTGATCTCATGTGATGCTTATTTTGACTGGAGGAGGTGAGCCTTTGCGGTGAGCAGCTGCTAAGGTACAAGCCTGCACTCTGAAGCAGCAGCGGGGGCACCCCAGTACTGACTGTACCTTTATTAGAGTCCACTCCTGCATGAAGTCAGAGCAATGTGATAGTCTTTTGTTCAGCTTGTACCATGTGGGCCTCATGGAATCGCCTCTCCTCAGTGCTCTCTGTAGATATCCAGGGCGCTGTCACAAAGTGCTCCCCAAAACTCAGTGCTGCCTCAAGGAGCAAGGGACAAACACCCCTCTTCCTCCATCTTCCAGACAACTGACAGACAGAGATACTCTCTCAGACCTCAGGCCCAACAAGCTTTTATTTTGGGACGCACAAATTCATAATTATTATTTTTTCCCTTGGTAACACTGAAAGCCAGATGAACGAGAGCCTCTCTGAAGTGAGCACGTAACACTTTATGGAGGGAATCTTGTGGCCCAGATAGGCTTCTGCTCCACTTTCCTTTTCTCTGCCGATGTCCTTCCACGAGGAAGTGAGACAAACATGTCCTGATGCATGGTTGCCATCATGTTTATCTCACAGTGGCACCGCAGGGACATTTCCTCAGGTCAGAGGATTGTGTGTGTCGCTGTTTCCTCACATCAGACTTACGAACATTTTCTGTATCACAGGCATGTTTATGGAAACATTCAACGATTTATTGACTTCTAATAACAACCTTAGAAAACAAGCAGATTATTACCTCCCCACTTAAAGGTGGTGAAATGGAGACCCCGAAAAGTTAATACATGCCCAAGGTCCTGAGTCATGAAAGGCAGAATTAGCCTTCGAGTGGACACAGTCTTTCTAGAACTGTGGGAGTTTCCACAAAGCAGCCTGCGGAAATCTCTCTGAGAAAGAAAGCATTGGCACAGTTCACAGTTCGAGCATCAGAAAGAACATGGGGAAACTTAAGCTGTGAGGGGAAGACTCGGAGTGATAGACTTTGTCTCACAGCGTGAGAGTGTGGACAGTTGCCCTGTGGACAAAGCACACACCAAATGGTAGCCTTGCACTTGATTCACTGAACGACTTGATGTTGAAAGTGGTAGAGGTTGAATTTTTTTTTTAAGATTTATTTATTTATGCACACAGAACTGGGGTTCAGGCCAGAAGTGCAGGAGTGGTGAAAGGAGTCACCAGAGACAGAGTGGGGAGCAGAACAGGCAGATTGAGGAAGTACACTGCTATGGGGAACCGCAGGCGGGTCAGGAGAGGTCTGCCGCGCCATGTGGGTCACCTTCGGGGTGGGGGATCGAACTCATGCTGCAGTGGATGCAATAGCTTCACAGTGCTGTGCTTTAACCATTTGCGCCACCAGGAGGGCCAGGTAGAGGTCGAATTTTAAGCCATGTAGGGTAGATTTAACTTCTGCTGCAAGAAAACTTCGATAGTTAGACACTTGAAATTTTGGTGCTCTTGAAGGATTCCATGAAGTGTTTAAATCTTACAAAGCCCAGAATAGAATCACTTCCCTGGAAGCCAAGCTCTAGCTGTCTCCTTTTTCCCATCCGTCTTTTTTATAACTTCCTTGCTTGATGTCCAGATGATGATGGTCGCAAACCACCGGAAACAATGAGCTGGTTTAAAGCAACTCCCTGTTACCTCAGGAAGAATTCGAGAGAGGAGGGCAGGAGGCATTACAGCCCCCTCTGGCGGGCTCCCTACGCAGGAGTGCATTACACTGAGAAGTTCACACATGCATCTCTCTCCTGAAAGGAGGGTGGGAGGCTGCTTTTTGCTACATCCTCACTGGTTTCTGTCAAGAAGTTTTCCTTTTGAAAAAGACTAAGTTTCCAAGGCTTGTACCTCTCCATGTTCTGGTTTTCTCTACTTTTTTTTTTCTGTCTTTTAAATTAAAGAGAGTTTCAAGAAAGATCCAGAAAGGGTGCTGAGTTTTCATATCATCCTTCATCCAGAGTTCATGTCTGCTCTGAGAATTTGCCTTCTAAAAGACAACTTTGGTGAGAGAGTATATTCGCCACACTGGAAAAGGCACAGTTGAACAAATTGAACCCCTGTTGCATCAGGACGTTTGATCTGATAATGTCAGCATTAATATGGGGCCTGTGAAGTTTTGCAGATTAAGATCCAAAAAATATGTTGAATTATCCAAGGTTGAAAGGAGCAAATTCCCTGATATTGCTAGAGGGAGGGAAAATGCATGTCAGTTCAAGTTGTTGATTTACTTCGTAGGCAAAGAAAATGGAGAATGGAAATTATGGGATTTCTCAAAGTTTATTCCTGAAAATATTTCACTAACAGTAGATTTTTTTTTTGCCTTTTATTTTCCTTTACCCAAATATGCTCAGTATTAAAAAAGCCAAAAAATTTATTTTTCTTAATCTGATTCTTTTAATATTGTTTTCTATTTAATGTTTTTCTCAGTTCTATTGAGATATTGACATATAATGCCATATTAGTCTAAGTGAACAACTTAGTAATTCAATACATGCAATATGGCTTAGTGGTTACCACAATGAGCTGACATTAATCTCTTCACGTTGTGACAAATTATTTTTCTACTGATGAGAACTTTCCTGTATAGTATAGTACAGTTAGCTCTGATCACCATGCTGTACAATGCATCTCCAGAACTTATAACTGGAAATTTTTACCTTAAGATTACTGTCACCCACAGCTCCAATTCACCATGCTGGTAACTGCGGGTTAGTCAGTCTGTGAGCTCAGGGTTTTTTGGATTCCACAATGATTGAGATTATACGGTATTTGTCTGTCTCTGAGCTATTTCACTTAGCCTAATGCTGTCAAGTTCCATCTTGACAAAGGCAGGATTTCCTTCTTTTCTGTGGCTGAGTAATTTTCCATTACACAGAGTCACACCCTGCATAGTGACATTTACTTTAGTGCTGGACCTCATAGACAACAATGGTTCCTACAGATAGCCCTGATGTAGTAAGCTATCCCTTCGAGGTTTGTGTGAGTAAACTGGATGCTGTTAACACAACAAAGAAATCACCAACAATGCACTTCTTCACACTTACCCTGTTGTTAAATGATGTGTGGCTGTTGTACACCACCTTCCCTTCATTTTTCCCTCAGTGGACACTTGGGTTGTTTCCATGCCTTGACTATGGTGAATAATGTTGCCGCTAAAATGTGAGTGCTGACATCTTTTTGAGATAGTGATTTTATTTTTTTGAATTATTATTTTTGAATCTGAATTAGCATTATATTTTAAAAATATTTTTATTGAGGTATGTTGGTTTACATCATTATGTACATCTTAGAAATGTAGGATCTCCCCTTCAGTATTGTTACTATGTTGTATAATTGTGATGAAATAATGTGAATTATAGTTCAGTGATTATTTCCTTTAATCTTTTTAGTAATTTGAAAGTATTTTGCAAGGCATGGAATGTGTTATATTTTTCATATATAATTCCCTAAATATTTATGCCTTTGGTAGGTCTCATAGGCATGTCTAGAATCTGGACCTAACAGTTGCAGAGTTGATATGTCCTGTTGCACAAAGGCAGTGCAGTCATATTTAAATCAAAGTCAACTCAAGCACTACATTTTTCTTTACATTCTTAGGTATAATACCAAGAAACACATTTCCTTAGAAAATGAGTTAAAAATTTAAAAATAAATTAAATCTTCCTTTCCCAATTGGAGAACAAAATATGAATAGCAGTTTCTTTCTGAACAATCTGGTTGCATGACACTGTTTCAGGGAAGTCTGGAATTCAACAATCAAAGGAAAATCCAGAAAAAGGGTGTGGACAGTGAGTTAGGGTCACCAGGGGTCTGGAGTCAAAACTAGGCTCTTTTTGACAGTACTTTCACTTCCTTTGGAAAGCTGGGGTTTCTGAGTTCAAGCAGAGACTCATTCACTCTAAATGTCATTATAATGCACAGAAGGAGGTGTCTGTGGCACATTGGAAGGGAACCCACAGGGAGGCCCCTTTATGGATTGTCAGGAACAGCCCAGTCAGTGGGGTTGACACCGGATCTCCGATAGGAGCTTCCTTCAGGTTGAACATCTCCTTAGCAGACACTGGGCTTGAGAAACTTGCACTTGCCTCAGTGTGGCAAGAGCAGTGTTTTCACTTAGATTTGTGTATTCATTTTGGAGTGGCTTGGGAGAAACAAATAGAGATTACAGGGGAGCAGGGAGTATAAAGACTTCAAGCCTGGGCACCTTCCTGGAGCTGGCCATGTGCTTTTGTAAGAAGTTTCTCATATAATCTGCACTGCAGAGACCTGCAAGGCACGAATTGCTCTGTGCCCATCCTACAGATACAGAAACTGCGGTTTTCACCTAAGGTCACAGAGTCCCATGGCGGAGATAGGATTTCCTATATCCAGGTCGCCCAGATGCCCGAGTCCATCTTGCTCAGCTCTTCCCTGCTCCCAAGGGAGATGTCTTTCTCTCCTTGTCTATGTTTCCTCTTGATTTCTTTCAGCCTCTGGAAGGCTTGTCCTCTGTGGTCTTCGGCAAACAGCCACAGCTTCCAGGGAGCAGCAGGTGTTTCTGTGATGACTGATGACCTTAGCAGCCCAGAGCGGGCGAATGCTGTCAGGATGCAGGACAGACGTGCGGACTAACGGCACATTTGTGACCTCTCCAGGAGCTGGCTGTCCCTGTGGTCCACGACGGTGGTGCTCTGTTGGCCTTCGTCTGCGGTGTGGTGTACACGCTCCTGCAATCCATCATCTCTTACAAGTCGTGTCCCCAATGGAACAGCCTGCTAACGTGCCACATACGCATGGCCATCTCTGCTGTGTCCTGTGCAGCTGTTGTCCCCAGTATCCTTTGCACATCTGTCAGAGTCCTTGCAAGCTTGAGCCCTCCCCCCACCTCGCCCTCACCCCCCCACCCCCCAAAAAAAGCATGCAAAAGAAAAGGTTAGCAGTTTTCACCTGCTTCTCAAGAACAGTTGGGAGAAGAGTGTAAATCATGATGAAAATGTCTCAACATTGTCTGATGAGTTCAAAGGAACCTTCAGCGGGGGAATGGTGGGAAAGGAGAATGGAAAAATCTCAGAACTTGAGTGTTTGCTTTCCTCTTACAGGGTCATTTCATGGGCCATGCGAAAATATTTGTTTTTCCTTCTAGTGCTTGACTAAAGACACCAAATATTGATATTGTGCTTGAAGTAAAGTCCTAAGCAACCAATGTTCCCTTTGCTCCACACGTAGGTGATAAAATGGTCTCACTTAATCCTGTTAGAAGTTTTTAAAAAGCGGTATGTAGTTTACTCCTAAGTCAAGTAAAAGTGCCTCTAGCCTTTTCCTTTTACCACTGATTTCATGCCGAAAGTGAGTTTTTATTTCATTTTCTTTTTTCGTTTTAAGATTTATTTATTTAAGCATGCAGAACTGGGGTACAGGCCAGAGGTGTGTGTGGGGGGGTGGGGGAGTGTGAGGATTCACCAGAGACAGAGAGGGGAGCAGAACAGGTGGATCTACTGAAATATGCTGCTGAGGGGAGCAGAGGGTGAGACAGGAGAGGTCTGCTGCACTCTGTGGGTCAGCTCCTTGGCTGGGGATCGAACTTGTGCTGAAGCATCTTCAGCTAACTTCATAGTGCTGCTTTTTAACCAAGGAGGGCCCACTAGTGACATTTTTGTTAACCTGTTTTGGCATAAAGTGGGAATGATTGAATGAAAACACACTTAGGGGCTTCTAGATATTAGGCTTTGTGTTTCTTAGAAGTCACTTTATTATTATTTCTTTTGAGATGTTCATGTTTCTCCCCCTTTATTCAATTAACTTGGTATATTGCATTGAATTTCTTTTAGAATTTCAAATTTATTTATATATATCTTACACCATTGTTCATTTTTGTACAATGTTTGTTTCCCCTCTCAGGTGTAACCCCTCAGAGATCCCCACCACTGGTTCACCCAGGCACGGTCACCAGTCTCTTGTGCTCTCCCGCCTTGTTTTGATCTCTCTCCTGCTCTTTCTCCTGAGGAATGTCCCTGATTTCTAGTTGCCTATTGATTTTGTGTAAAACAGAAATCACTTTAAAATGTGACGTAGAAGGTTGGTATTTTTCATCTACAAAAAGAAGACCTTTACTTGTATAATTTCTAAACAGAGGAGTCAAGTTCTAGAATTGAGAAATTTAAACAACAGACCCTGTTTCCTAAGATAGCTCATTTTGATCTCCCAGTCCCGGTTGTGGATTGAAGTCACCCCTGCTTTCACTTCAAATATCAAATTAGTTTGTGTTAGCTGTAAAACAGGTTTTTTTTAGTTGAGAAATTTCTAGTTGAGTTTTTAAGTATCAAAAGCAAAGTTTCTTCGTATAGGCCACCTTCTCTTTCTTTCAAGTTTGAACAGGTTCTTAGATAATAAAATCAGAGTGCTTTAGCAAAATAGTCATTTCTGACCTTAGAGTTTTCATATATTAATAGTTCCCATTTCTAGGTGAACCAAGCCAAGGGTTAACAACCCCAAACACAAACAGGCTATATCCCTATATCAAAGAACCAGATCCAGTTCATCCATGTGAGAGTCTTAAACATTAGCATGGCATGCATACTTCCTTACAAAGATTTTCAAGTGTCTTTAAAATGCCCTTGTTTGTCACTACCATGAAATGGCCTCCTTTGACTCCTGAAGAAACTGAGGCACTGAGCGAGGTCAACAGCACCCCACATCAAAGCCTGCCCCCATAATTCTCTGTCTTGTACCAGGCTTCTAAAGCTCCAGAACCTTCCCCGATGACTGACAGCACTAAGTCCAGGCTCCCTTGCTCAGGATATGTGGTTTGGGACGGCCCATTTTTTCAACCTCATTTTTATTCTTTCAGTCTGAATCCTGGCTGTTGCCTGTTCTCTGCTTTCACCCATGCCTGTCCCCCAGTTCTGCCCGGCTTTCTCTGGTGGTCTCAAACCTTAACACTTAGATTAAGCTTGACTCTGTGAAACCACAGTCATTTCCTCCCAACTCATCCTGTTCTTCTCTCTCCAGTGCAGCATTTTCCTTGGGATTTGTCCGACAAGTCTGAGTTTTAGGAATTGAGGTGCTAGGGATTAGTGGCTTTCCCCCCCAAAAAAAAAAAAATTTCCAAAACCCAGTTTCACCTGGGTTTTCTCTGTCCCCTCCCCGCTTTTTGCCACCCACACCTGAAAGGGGATTGATGAATCGTGAATGTATAACTCCTGTTGTCATGGAAATGAAGGTTTGAAATTATAGGCAGAATGTCGTTATTAACACTTTTTTCTTTATTGCGTGAAAAGATGCATACCATAAAATACACTTGACATCCTAACCATGTTTAAGTGTGCTTCAGTTTAATGAAATGTATATTCACCATCCATGCCACAATTCTGTCCATCTGGTAAACCCTAACTCTGTATCCACTCAGGCCCTAGTCCCTAGTAAACATGTCTACTTTCTGTCTGTGGGATTTTGATTCAGGACCTCATGGATGTGGAATCACTCAGTGTTTGTCTTTCTGTGCATAACTTCCATTACTTAACTTAATGTCCTCAAGGTTCACCCACTTCATGGCGGATGACAGCGCATGGCAGAGGCCTTCCTTCTGAAGGCTGAACAAGAGTCCGTTGCCTGCACCACATTCTGCTTAGTCGTCCCACCCACCCACAGAGCTTGGGTTTCACTATTGTGAGTAGTGCTGCTGTGAACACGCGTGGGTAGACTGATCTCTCCAAGATCCCATTTTCAATTCTTTTGAGTAAATACCCAGGAGTGGAATCATTATATCAGATGACGATTCTATTTGTGGTTACTTGAGGAACTTCCTTACTGCTTTTCCTAGCAGCTATATCATTTTACATGCACACCGGCAAAGCTCTGGGTTCCAATTTTTCAGCGTCACCAACACTTCTTGTTTCTGTGTCTTTGACAGCAGCCACCCTGATGGGTAGGAGTTAGAGCATTTTAACACTTTGCAGTGATTACATTGAAGACTAATCTAGTTGTGATGTCAAAGGATCTGTTTTCTTTTGCAGTTTCCTTAACAATTTCCTTTTTCCAGTGATTGCTTGTGCATCATTAATTTCTATAACCAAGCTGGAGTGGAATCCAAAAGAAAAGGTAATATTAAAGTCATTTTCAACATGATCAAACCTGGGTTTGTGAGGCTGTGGCTAGGTTATGCCTAGAAAGGATCACAGCTTTTTCTTAGGACAAGTTGCAAATTCACAGGAGTAAATGTAGCACATAATTAATTTACTCTTCAGTTATTTGGCGATGTGTGTGTGGTAATTGGCTATCGAGGGCAACCCTAAATTGTTCCTGGGATCATTTAACAAAATTTGAATTCTTGATTACCTCTAAAAACTTCAGCCACTGTGCTTAGCACTAGGAGGTTGGACATTGAAGGCAGGAAGCAGAGGGCATAAAGGGGGGGGGGCAGGCCAGAGGAAGAATGAAATGTTAGGAAGGGACAGGGACAGTGTGGTGGGTGACTCCTTTCAGAAGGGACGAGAGAGAAATGTGTTCAGGGATAAATGTGAGAGGGCGTAGTTTGGCCAAGGCTTTTGCAGGTGGTGAGCCGAGAGGCCTTACTTGATGTACATGATCAGGGTAAACCTTTGGAGCTTTTTGAACAGGAAGTAAACAGTATTGGATGTTAGTCAGAGGCAACCTGGGGTGAGCTGAAGAGGAGAGTCTCTGTTAGGACACCAGGGAGAAGGCATTTCTGCTAGTTCTGATTTCAGATCAATGTTTGATAATGTTTGATGGCCACTGGCAAAGTGGCAGTGAGGATGAGAGGACATGGTGTATCGAAGATGACTTCCAAGTTTTTATCTTGGGTGAACCAAAGAATTTGTTCCCAAGAGGAGAGAAAGATAAGGTCCCCTCACAGGAAAAAATGATTTCATGTCAGGTGGGTTTAGTTTTGGAATTATTACCTCTGTTGTAATAAGGAAATACTGAGGAGAGATGTCCAGTTTGACACGTGATTGTAACTGTTGAGGTTTGAGAGGCCTCAAAATCCAAGGCAGAGTGACCAGTCACTTCTAGACCAAACATCAGAATATGTGGAACTGAGTTTTAGGAATTGAGGTGCTAGGGATTAGTGCCTTTTCCCAAAAAAATCAATTTCCATAAAATGTTAACAGAAGCCAATTACAAAAGCATAAAGAAATTGTGAGACCAGTGATTGACTTCTCAAATATCTAGAGAAATAAAATAGTTGGTTAGAGTAGACATATTGGAGCAAAGGAAGGACTTTCCATGATGGAAGGTTCTGAAATGTAAGAGGCAAGGGACCTGTTGAAGATGGTGAGGAGAAGAATGATCCAGGCAGTGTTCAGAGACAGTTGCTTTCTTAGCGAGACCTCACAGCAGCCCCGGATGCACTTTACTCCTCAACCTCTAGGGGGAGACATTTCACCACGAATCAAACAGATCTGTAGCCTCACGGATTCAGCAAAACCTATCCTTAGGCACTTGAGTCTTTTTTTGGTTTCATTTTCTACTTTAAAAATGTGGCAAGGACCCGGTTTGCTACTTACTGAATAAATTACCATGCCTCTCTTGTATTGTCTTTTGTTCCTGTATCAGTGAATGCAAAGAAAACCCTGTATATTCATTCACTGAATAGAATAATCATTTAGGAATTGCCCCACTGTTCCACCGGGTGCTGAGACCCTTCACAGCACATCCCTATGCATCAAATTACTTGGGGGTGTTGGGGGGGGGTGAGAAAATTATAATGTCACTGTTTTCTTTTACATAGAAGGAGATGGAAGTGTTGCCTGTATTCACACATGTGGAAATAACTCCCCCTAGACTGACAGAGGAGCAGAAGGCAAAATAACAAAAAAAGTTTGGTTATTGTTTGAAATGAGAAGGAGTCCCTGTCCATCTGCAAGCCTGACCCAGCATGTGAACTGTGGTCAGCGAGCAGGTGGACATGGACATTTCGTGCAGAGACTTGAAAAGGCTTTGGAATTAGTACTCAGGATTCAATCATCAGATCTCCCCACACAGACACACGTAATGCCAGAGGTGTGGTGGGGGTGGGTCAGGAGAGGTCTGCTGTCACCAGAGACAGAGTGGGGAGAAGAACAGGCAGATTAACTGAAATCCACCGCTGAGGGGAGCAGGAGAGGTCTGCTGTGCCATGTGGGCCAGTTCCCTAGGTGGGGGCTGAATTCGTGCTGCTGTGGCTGTAGACAGCTTCGTGCTGAGACTTAACTCCTTGCACCTCCATGGAGCCCCCCCCCCTTTTTAAACATCCCTCAAGGCAACACAAGGGGTCATGTATTCCCAGTCGGTGGAAATGGAATGGAGTTGATGAGGCCTCGGCCCCGTCTTCCCCATCTGTTGACGACCATAAGTTGAATTTGACTTTGTTAACATTCTGGCCTCGTAGGCAGCTGACTTGGGAGTCTCTGATGAAAGCGCCTCTCAAGCTTGCCTTTCCTTCTCTCATTCCGCCCCGGGACAGAGATGGTTGCTGTAAGCCTCCCGAGCACTGGCTTTGTGGCTGTGCTTACCTTGTCCTGTCCAGGAGCGCTTTCTGAGCTCATCTGTCCTTAGTAACAGAAACAGAACCGGAGGTGAGAGGCGCCAGAGCACCCGGGTGGGGACACTCACTCCTGGACAAGTGGTACCTGCTACACAGATGCTCTTGAAGTCACGCCCCATTCTGAAGTCCTGTTGAGTCTGAGATTCTCTTGCAGAGGGCCTCGCCATGGGACCCTCCTCAGGCAGGTGGCCCGGCTGATCCGCCCCTGGCTCCCAGCGGGCCTGATTTGTCCTCACAGCACCGCGCTCTGCTCCCTCTGGGCTGCCAGTTACTGCTTCAGGAGGTCCAGCAACAAGCACTGATTTCAGGCTAAATTCTTTTTTCTCTGTTATCGCCACTAGGATTATATTTATCACGTAGTGAGTGCGATCTGTGAATGGACGGTGGCCTTTGGTTTTATTTTCTACTTCCTAACATTCATTCAAGACTTCCAGGTGGGTAATTTACCAAATACTATGTTACACATTGCTGACAGTTGGTACTCATCAAAACCTAAAGCAAGCTACTTGCATAACAAATAGAGCACACTCACTCTCTCTCTCCCTTTTTTTTTTTACCCTTTCTTTTTACCCTCTATAAAAAGAAAACAATGCATCTCTTGTGCAACTTCATTTTTTCTTGAAGGGAAACCTCTTTCATGGCTCTGCCAGCCGGTATCTGTCCTCTTTGTCCTCTGCCTCTGGATGTTTACAGTCAGATCCTGGTGGTTTTCTTTTTGAGATGGTCTCACGGTTCCAAACAACAGGAAATGCATCTTTTTAGCTTCTTAGTGCTGTGTTTTAACCCGCTGAGCCACCAGGGAGGGCTGGAAATGCATCTTTTTAAGAAATAAAGTGTGGGTGTTGAAAAATGTTCCCAGGCAGAGAAGGTGGAATCTTATCAGATTTGGCAACAGGGAAAATCTTACATTTGGAAACCAGAGAATTATTAACTGAAAGATACAGAAAGCTAAGAAAATTCTGTAGGCCCTCACTCAAGCATCACATAAGCTTCAGTGAGATGAGATCACCTCTTTGGGGCAAAAATCCTGGGTGTTCCCATAGCTGGCACTGGGATTTTTTTGTCTCCTTTTCAACCATTTTTTATTTTTTGTTCTGTCCTTTTTTTTTTTAGAGTGTCACCCTAAGGATATCCACAGAAATCAATGATGACATTTGAAGGAGGAAGAATTCTGTCACTGGCAGTGAAAGTCACAGATGATCTCCTCACGTGGCACAGAGGACAGGCAGGGTGTTAGCATTGCTCCACCTGGAGTGCAACTGTGACCCATCCAGGACTTGAATTTCCTTAAGAATTCCCAATAGTTGTACTATTTCCAAAGGTATGTTTTCCTAGAGAATGTAGCACACTTATGACATTGTAGCAGTGTTTTTGATAAATTTTCTAAGTAGCCACTTTTTCATGGTTCACAAAATTCATGACAAAAGGTAACGTGTTACGGAAAACGGAGAACTCTTATTTTTGTACTGATTCCGTTTTAGTTTCTCTTTGCCTTGCGTGACTCTTGAAAATACACTAGATGAGACCTTCATTCAAAAGTAAAGTCAAGGGCTATCTTAACATTTAACTTGTAGAGAATGATCTGTATAGTTTTGTATCATGAGGCTATCAGTATTCAATTTATAATAATCAAAGATTTAGGTCCTAAATTAACACTAAGATACTCTGGTTTTTAGATGAACTAAGCAAAATGCTTCAATGGAAAGGCCTTAGTTCCTCTGTGCACCTTTATGAACACAAGAGACCTCAGGTTTGAAATTCAGACCTCTGCTCCCACACCCCCTTCCTCCCCCCTGTGCCCCCCAGATACAGTTTTCCTCCTAGCAGCCAAGTGGGGTCTGGGGGGTGGGGGTGGGGCGGAGACTCCAGTGGGATTTATTCAGTGGCCGGTTAGAAACCAAAAGCCTTATGACAGGGGTGAAAGGGAGGCGAGTGGCTAACAGGGAGATCTCACTGGATTCGGGTGGTCTTTCCTAGATGTGCGAGGTGGGGCGGGTCTGGGGGAGCATTCAGGGAGGCAGGAGGGGGGGAAGGGGAACCTTAACTTTATAGTACACTTCTGTGAAAGCCACCCTGTGAAAAGCATTAAAACACCATTGATGAAAGCACCCTTTATTGTTGCTGGCATCACTGGATATACAGTCTGACTCAGATGTTGAAATTCACATCTCAAATTCATTTTATGTCAGTAAACAAGTGGAAGGGAACATAGGTGGGGGCTGGGGGAGAGAGGGAGAGAGGAGCAGGAGGTGCAGGGAGAAATGGAGCGGGCCCCCCTTTCAGCGGCAGGCTGCTGCTGCCACTCTGTGTCACAATGACAATGACAGGGAGGGGGCCTTTGTGAAGTGAGCCCCTTTGTGAAGTGAGGCCTCCATACCTTGTCACCCACATCACGAATAACAAATGAAAATTCAGTCATTCCAGAAGGGGACCTCGGGTGCTAAGAGTTAGATCTGAAAGTTAAAGAGAAGGAACTTAGCCTCAAGGGGCCTCCAGACCACAGCTGATCTGGCTCCCTGGCCAGAGGGAGCCGCCCTCGGCCCTCCATGGCCTGTGGCAAGGGCAGAGCAGCCCCCTGGGACAGCCCTGAGGCCGCCTGGGAGCTGTGAGTGCACCAGCCCCTCTGAAACACTTGTTGAGTGAGTGAAGGGTGATACTTGCGGCAGGCAGCACCCCCTGGGCAGTGACCAGCTCCCCTAAGTGTCCAGCAGCCAGAACCTGATAGCCACTCTGGGGCAGCATTTGTTGCTCCAAAGCGGAGGAGGAGGAGGACGAAGAAGGGCACCTGCCCTCTCCATGGACTCTGTGTTGGGATGAAAATGTGTCACAGGCCTCCTTCACCCAGTGCAGCACTCTCCTCCGTTGCTGCCCCTAGGGACAGACTGGGAGCTGCTCCAGGGCAGCACTCAATGCTCCCAGCCACAGGCGGTGCTTACTACTCACTGAATGGGAGTGAATGCATGCGAGGACGGCGTGACAGACCCTTGCGGTGCTATGTAACGAGACTTACTCTATTAGTATGTGATAAACCAAGAGTCTGTGTCACCCAGTAATGCTGTCTTGCTTTGTGTACTGTAAATATTTCAGTGGTTTGGGCTTCGCCATTCTCAGACAACTCTCTTCAACCTGGACAGTTAACCACAGAAATTGTTCCATGGGCTAGACAAAGTGGGACACCGGGCTTGGCAAACGGAGAAGGCCAAAGTCACTCCAGACAGTCACGTTCTGCTGATTCTGTGCAACCTCTAAAGCTGGCCTTATCCGCATTTTACTGCTACTTCTCATGTCTATGAACTTGGCATTTTCTTGGATCTCCTGACTAAAAGAATAAAGTGAAATATTTCTGTATTTTAGGGATCTGTGTCTCTGTTGTGTTGGTTGGGTACTACCATGAAGTGTATTGATCCGGGGAACAATTGTAGCTCCATTGGACTTTATAAATGTATCATTTAAACTCAGGTGGCTTTACATATGAGCAGGTGGTGCATCTTTGTAGAGATTCTTGAATCTTAAGACATTGATATCAGAAGTTTGCATCAGTCAAGACTCTTAAGAATTGGAGGCACCAGAAAGCATCTCACATTTGTTGAAAGAATAAAGGAGGTTGGCACTCAAGGGAGCTAGTTTCAGGGGTGGCTGGATCCAGAAGTGCCACCTTGTTTCCATCTATTCCCTCCTTCTCTCTGGTCTGGTTTTCTCTCTTGGCATCATTCTTGGGTGGCTTTTTCCTGGGTGAGAGTGAGATGCTTTTACAAGCCTCAGGCCTGCAATCTGTCTGATAGAAAGAGACAACTTCTGGCCCTCCCTGGTGGTGCAACGGGTTAGGATGCAGCACTGCAAGCTCACTGCAGCTGCATCAGTGTGAATTCGATCCCAGCCCCGGAGGTGACCCACATGGCGCGGCAGACCTCTCCTGACTGGCCTGCTGTTCCCCTCAGCAGTGTACTTTGTTGGTCTGCCTGTTCTGCTCCCCATTCTGTCTCTGGTGAATCCTCACTGTCCCTGCACCTCTGGCCTGTACCTCAGTCTGTATGCATAAATAAATAAATCTTAAAAAAAAAACAAACAAACAAAAAAGACAACTTCTCAGTAGCTCCGGCCAGAGCCTGTGAATTGAACTCAGTGGCTGGCATGGGTAGTATGTTTTTTGGTGGGTACCCCTTTCGTTAGACCTGAGCCCACTCTGGGGCAGGGTCCGGTCAGCACTGCCCAAACTACTAGCCCCATTATGGCCCTGAAAGAAATGGAGGGGATAGGAATCTTGGCCTGACACAGAGCAGTTGATTCCACTATGGAATTAGTGTTCCCCTCTGGGGCTCTATCCAGAAAAGCCAACTGGTTTCAGAGTAAATCAAGTTATACTTGCTGACATTTCTTTTTGGGTTTAAAAAAAAAAAAGCAAGTTCAGGCCATTTAGATAATAAAAATGCCTTCAGTTACTTCAAAATTATGTTTATACTTTTTCAAGGTTTTTGTGTCTTACTTAGCCTCTGAGGTTGGTTAGGCTGTTAATTTTCCCCAAGATGGGGAAACCAAGGCAAAGAGAAGTGCCGTGACTCCTAAGAGGTCAGATTCCTGTTTGGGATGCTTGTTGCTCTGATTTCTAATCAAGTATGTCTTCAAAACAAAAACAAACAAACAAAAAACAAAAATACACAACATGAACACACAGGATTCCATAAAAATTGCATTTCATAAACCAAATTAGATACATCAGTGTGGTGCTGAGCTTGGGTTTCCCAACACCCCTTACATGTGGCCTTGTCCCGTGTTCCCATTTGTTACTCAGCTGGAGACATGCTGGTCTGGTGTTTGGATCTGGAATGCGGAAGGAGGAGCAGGAGGGAGATAAGTGGTATCCCGTTCTCTCCCACTCTGGAATTCTGGCAGGCCTGCAAGCCCAGCCGTCTCCCCACACACATACTCTTGGTCTGGCTCTAGAGGCCTGCGTTCTCCAGGCCAGAATGTCCTGTGTCTGCATCCCGGCTGTTGCACAAGAGAGCAACCACAGCCTCGAGCCCTGGAGAAATCTCTGACTCTCCGTGGCCACCCCCTGCAGACACATCCTGTAAAATGAAGGGAAGCCGGATGCCAGACTCACGTGGGGAGTGGCAGTGACCTTCAAAGCTGATGCTGGAAAACGCTGAAGGAGATACCAGCAGTCCTCTTTGTGGTTCAAGCCAGGACACCTAGAGATGTCTGGTAGACCTGCCACCCCCAGACAACCCCCACTTTTGGACTCATTAGTCACTTGAGTTTCGAAAGAATCTCTAACTTCATGAAACTTAAGCTAGGGGCCTCCCTGGTGGTGCAAGGGGTTAAGCACAGCACTATGAAGTTGTCCACCGCCACTGCAGCACAAGTTCGATTCCTGGCCAGGGAGCTGACCCACATGGTGCAGCAGACCTCTCCTGACCCATCCACTGTGCCCCCAGCAGTGTGTTTCAGTACATCTGCCTGTCCTCCTCCCCACTCTGTCTCTGGTGAATCCTCCCACCCCTGCACCTCTGGCCAATACCCCAGTTCTTGTATGCATAAATAAATACACCTTAAAAAAAAACAAAACAAAAAAAGAGCTGCATTTTTGATGCCAAATACCTCTAAGAATCCTGAAAGATATAAACACCCAAGTTGCCCTAACTGCAATACAGTAAACTACTGTTAGCCTGGACTCAGCCTGCTGGTTAAGTGGGGCTCCAGCTGCTTCCACTCGGAGCCCTTATTCCCGGTCCCATTTGTTCTTAGTTAAATATTTTTGCATCCATCGTAAAGTTACACCGTGTAAGGTCTTTTACTCAGTTCACTCCTCTCTTGCAGATGTCCACTTTTTATCAGTTTTTAACAAAATACCAGCAGAGACATAATGTTACAATGTCGCCCTCATTTCTACCCCGACTGGAGCACACTGTTCAGTTTCTTCTCTCCCCTTTCTTGACAGTGATGCATCTTGGAGATGGTTCCCTATCAAACACACAGGCTTGCTCATTTTCTCCTTTTCCCTGCCGTACACCTGTCCCGAGCTCCCTCTCATGGCTGTGCCCTCCCTGGCGGAGCCGGAGCTCAGTTTCCCAGCTCTCACCATTCCAGGTGAATGCCACCCCACACACGCCACTTCATACTCGGGCTGAGACCCCCAGAGGGAGGGCTGCCCAAGGCACTGTGGCTGTAGCGTGTCAGAAACTGTCACCTGGTTGTAGAACCTTTTCCTTTGGACACTTCACTGGAAAGCGTTGCAACCACTTCCCATTTCTGATTAGGGGGTCACCTCATCTGGGAGACTCACTCATTCCTCCGAGGCACAGGGGTAGCTTCTGCCGTAGAGGGAGCAGGGCCGGCTGCTCCTGTTCAGATCTTCCTCTTCTGTTCCCTTTTTAAAACACACCTAGGGCCAGAAGGGAAAGGCTGTTTGCTCCCCACCCTCCTGTGGACAGATCCCGGCTGTGCACTCCCCAGGGTGGGGGGTGAGGGAGTTCCTCTCCTTTCACTGTCCAGAGTGTCCCCATCACATCCATTTTCTAACCACTTTCTCTGGTATCTCTTTGAAGGGCAATGGATCCTCTTTATTTTCTAAAAATTGGTTTATTTATGATAGAAATGCTGGGGTGCAGACCAGAGGTGCAGATGTGTGTGTGTGTGTGTGAGGGTTCACCAAAGACAGAGTGGGGAGCAGAACAGGCTGAACGCTTGGAATACACTGCTGGGGGGAGCAGCTGGCAAAACGAGAGGTCTGCTGTGCCACGTGGGTCACCTCCCTGGCAGGGGTCAAACTCGTGCTGCAGTGGCAGGAGGCAGCTTCAAAGTGCTGTCTTAACCCCTTGCACAACCAAGGAGGCTGTGAGGTGATTTTCCTCATAGTCTACCCCATTTCACTTATGAGGAAATTAAGGCTCCAAGTCAGGGGTCAGGACCAAACCCAACACTGAGTCCCACAGTCAACCTTTTCCAAGAGGACATTACTGTCAACCATTATCGTGTTTGTATGAATTACTTTGTTAGTTTTCCTAGGCCCAAGGAAGAAAACCTTCCGCTGAAAATGAGATATCTGGGGGATGCTTTCAAGAGAAAATTGACCTGGTTCAACTCTGTGCCTCTAAGGCCTGAGGCCGGGGGTAGGAATCAGAAGAAAAGCCTCATGGCGAAGGCTCATATGTCGCACTGGCTGTTTGGAAGGAGATGGAGACGCACTCCCTCCCGTCATACCTGGCTCCAGGAGACCACTGGGACGGCCCACTGGGACGGCCCTGGAGTGTAATGGGCAGTGTGGCTGGGTGGGAGGCCTTGGGTGTGGCTTAAGCTCAGGTAGCAGGGAGGTGTGGTTTCTTAGGACTCTGCACCTTTTGTTTCTGGTTGGTGCAGAAAGAAGAATTCGGGGCCATCTTCTGTTTGGAAAGAAATAGCTGCTCTCTGCCTCCCAAGGGAAATTGTGATGGGGGCCAGAGGGGAGACCATTGATGCAGCACTGGCCCTTGGTTCGCCAGCCTCCAGCAGCAAGGGAGCAGATCTCAGGCCTCCCTGGCGAGGGGTGGATGCCCAGAAGATCCATTTGACCTTCTCGAACCATCCTTTCACTCGGGTCAGCCCAGAGCAGCAAGTGCTGGGTACCACCCTGAACATTTGATTTAAGGTGAAGAGTGATGTGTTTAAAATGGGCCAGCGATTTGACAGCTGCTAACATAACCTTTAACATGTATATTGAAATGAATCCCGAGTTCAGTGCAGTCTGTCATTTCCTCTTAATACTTGAAAAGCCGCAGTTGTTTGAAAGGGCCTTCAAAAGGCTCTAGTGGGTGAGTTTACTCTTCCACTTGACTGCACTTGGAGCCCTTAAGTGAGAGCCACCTTGAAATCGAAACCAGGAAAATCCCGGGTGTCTGCAGCCAAGAGAAGTAGGTATGTTCTGAGAGTTATTAAATAATTACCTGGTTGTTGACATGCTGTGGGGGAAGGGAAAAAGCCGAGGTGTTGGCAGGCATGACTTGAGATTAGTAAGTGGGTCACGTGGCTTGTTATGAATGAGGTAGAGCATGGTGGTGTCTGGGCCTGTGGCTCGGGTCAGGCCGCTCCATTAACCAGGTCTCAGGGTGGCCCATCCTTATTTAGACAGAATGGACACGGTCAGCTATGATCCACTTCATCCTGCAAATATGCAATGTCAGTTGCTTTGACCAGATGCAGCAGTAACCTGAAGAAAAGAAAACAGTGAGAAGCAAAGAGAATTCACGGGCCCTTTCGACTTCCCGTCAGCACTTGGACTAAATGGTGGCTGACCGCAGGTTTCTAATATATTGCTTGGAGATTAACTCAATTCAGAGCCTCAGGGCAGAAGGGTCTTTTCAA